TCTTATTCGTTTTAACACGCGATATGCTAGGACAACAATAATGATGCTTCACATTACTCAAAATTTCCCTTTGATAATGTGGAACGATTGTAAGAGAACTATAAGAGCATATTTCTGTTATTTAGAGACAAACTAATGAAATGAAAATAGACAGTATGCTTGAAGATAGAAGATAGAAAGACGAGAAGAAGAAGAAGAAGAAGAAGAAGAAGAACTGCATACATAATATGTCATTATGGTTGGATAAAATTTTGATAGCCTAGATTCTGTAAGATAGATACCTTCTTTTATTCATTTTGTCATTTAACAATTATATATATATAAATATGTATATCTATATCTATAATGTTTTTGAATGATTGTCTGTTTATCATTATAGACGTATAGAAGGTGACATACAAGTACCGAAAACAAAAATGTAGAGCATAGAATAATTTAATATATATATATATGTTGTGCCTGTAGTTTCTTTTTTCTTGTGGGCAATGACAATGTTAGTTAGGCGAACATTGTCTTTTTTAATAGTAGACATAGCTTATACAAGCAAATCAATGTAAAACTAATAGTTTTGATGATGATGGGTTTTCTTATTCTTATTTATATGATTATAGATAAGTACATGTTTTTGTCTATTGTTAGCATGACTTAAATTAATCATTGAAGATAAGTAAAGACTCATGTAGCAGAAAAATAATGATACTTGTATACTATTCGAGTAGTCTAATCAAATGAAACTGTTTATATCTATGTGTTTATTTCTTTTTTTTCCTTCTTATCAAAGATATATACAAATGATCAAACTAAAATAATGTCAATGTCAATACTTCAGATATTCTCTTTGTCAAATGTCGACAAACATCCTTATCAAGATCTTTTTTTAATCTAGTAGATATATAATATATCTGTACAAGTACACAAAAATGAAAAAAAAGAAAGAAAATGACTCTATTTCTTTTGGAAGAAAATTTGATTATCGAAATGACAAAGACAGCTCATCAGCAATACTAACACTAGATAATATAAAAAAAATTTTCTGTATGCAAATAGAGATACACAAATAATCTTATCTTTTTTTTTGTTGCTTACCATCGATATTAGAGAATAATATAGGCGTCGAATTCATTCAGTATGCGCGTGAGGGCAAAGAATAAAGACTGAGGCCTTGTCCTTTTTTACCATCCATTATTGTTGTTGTTCTTCAATGCCGTTTATGTCTTCTTCAACATATACACAATAGTCGTTTATTCTATTTTTTTTTGGCTTTGTCCAGATTTTTTTTTCTCTTTCTATTAAGATATTTGATTTGTAAAACCATTTGACAACCTATCGAAAAGATTTCCATCATTAATAATGATCGATGAATAAATATAGTAGCTAGATATTGATTCATTTGAATAAGTGATTGAGTTTTCTCTTACTAATCATATTATGCAAAAGAAATAACCCTCGAGTTAATAACAAAAAATAATTTGCAAAAATATCCAAAGAAATTTTATTAATTACATGATTGATAATGCGAAACATATCAAACAAATATATATATGAAAAAAAATATTCTTTACTATTGGAAAATAATATGTATTGATTATTAACAAGAAGAGAAAAATGATATGTAGAAGATAGATGATGTAAGAGCTTCGCACTAAATCATGAATATTCGAGATGAATTGGTTAATGTGACAATTGTGATTACATCATACATCAAATTATCACAAGGAAGAAGAAGAACTGTTAGCCTTTTTTTCTAACGATGAAATTTTTATGTGTTAACTTGAGATTTTTTCTTTTAGCTTTAAATATTAATTTGCATGGACATATTTTTACTCATAGAAAAACAACATATGTTTTGACATGGTTGATTTACATAGAGATTTATATTCAAAATGATATTGTAATTTTCTTAATCGACCAAAGATGTCTCGTTGCATATTTTTCTATATCCTGAAATAATCAGATCTTAACTGACAAGATAGAAATTCTATTGGACTTTTTTTCCTCTTTTGTATTAAGTTGACGTAAAGAACCATTTTATCATAAAATATTGAAAGAAACATTTCAAGAATATAAAATCTAATTGTCAATTATGAATAAAACTTGTTTTTGATCAACATGTTTTTATCAAAAGAAGCATTTGTCTTTATCTATTTTTCTTCCCTAAGAAATTGATGATGAAAAATGTAACTTGTCATCGATTGCTTATAGCTATGTAAATTAAGCTCGTATCTATTGCATATTTTATGTTAGCACATGTCATACATATTTTTGAAACTATTCGAATAATCTCAAGCGATGATGGACAATCAAATCTTTACTTATGCGAAAACAAATTTAATTGTTTATATACGCAATATATATTCTTATATAATAAATCTACGAATGAAATAATGCTCTAGTAAATACTTTTAATTATCATTCCATGATAAACAATGTTAGAATGAAAAAAAATTGATTAGAACATGTTCTTTTTGTTTAGTTATCTACGACTGAGATATTTTCAATATACATAGCATCGCCATTTATAAGATAAATCATATGTCTGTTGATTGTAAGAAATTATTCCAGTGTTATTCAGTATAAATTTTTTGTAGACAACTGTTCAATGTATTCATTTGTTTTGAAGTCTTGATTGTATCTTGTTTTGGTTATTTTAAGATGAAGTGAATTTAATTATTTATATAGAATTAAATATTTATTGATAATAAATACTTAATATTATATATAGAGAAATATTTATCATGTTTTTTTTCTTCTTCATTTCTTTATGTAATAAAAACAAATAAATATTCTAATCTTTGATAGGATTATTGAGTTAAATGCTAATGTTTCGGTTTGAAATAATCATCAATCTTTTCTAAAATAATTTTTATGATATCACAAGGATATCATCAATCATATTTTTTCAATATCTAAAGTGTTAACTCAATTTTTCTGGGTTTTGAGATAAACAGATCATGATATTTTTTCAAAAGAATATAAATGTATACTAACGGTAGTATATTTTTAAATTCAAGAAAATTATTTTCTTGTTAAATCGTGTAAAGAGACAGAAAATTTCAACAATTATTAAATGTCGATTTATGTGTATTTCACCTTGAGATGTAATGACCTATGCTTATTTACATTTAAAAAAGAAAGAATTACATTTCAGAAATATTGACGATTAGTCTAGGACTAGACATATCATAATACTATTGAAGTAATTTAGTTATTTTGATTTGCTAATGACCAGTTATTGAAAGATAATAAGACTAATATCTTTGCTAAATTTGGAGACAAAGATAAATCATTTTCATATATCGATAACAAACTGTCTAATATGAAATAGTGACATTGATTGATATTGTATTTGAGAGCAATAATGTTTTGATAAAATAATTCAAGTTATTTAACAAAGTTACAGAAGTAATTATGGCTGTTTATAAAACTTTATGAGTTGTAATACGAAAAACGATCATTAAATTATGTCCAAATATTTATCGATCAATACATCTGACTTGCAATTGTAGATAGAATGTTCCAGGGTTTTCGGCGAGTATACCGTAGGAAATCAAATATATCACGATGTCAGCCAGACCGAATAAATATAGATAACATTCACAGGCATATTAGAATTAACAAATCCATGGAGTCTTTATTGATTGTTTTTTTCCTAAAGGTTAGACCTATTTATAATAAACAGTACTCGAAACCTACTTATATTATAACGTCAACTAGTCTATCATCTGTAGTTTCATCTAAAATATATTATGAAAAACTATAAATAATTACTAACAGATTTCAGAGTTATTCTTGATCACCGATATCATAAGACATCGTATTTGATTTATGTTTTTTTTTAAATCAACATTTCATTCTTTGCATTGCAGGATCCAACCAAAATATAGGAACAAAATCATAAAATGGTTAATACCATCGATAACCATACTTTTGATCTTTTATGTTATTTCTTTACTAGTATTCGCTATTATTATTTATGTTCTTACAGTATTACTTTGAGAACAGTCAACAATAATTCTAAGAGTAATGATTATTTGAATATGATGAATCAAGAGTTATTATAGTTTGTACTAATAATATTTTGATTTCGGAGTCTAAATAAATGAACCAGTACAACAACATCAGATTTCTTTCATAAATTTAATATTCTTGAATGTAACTCTAGTATACTGACGATTGTTTTTTCGATTTCTGTTCGATATTATAAATTCACAATCGTCCAGGTCTCTTTTGATTGTTTAATAAATATTTATTTAATATGTACAGAAATCAAAATACACCACTCCAGTATTGCAGAATAGTAATAATCATAAAATTATGCACAAATTTCTCTTTTCATATTTTGTATGAATGAAAAATAAATTATCTTCAATAAATGGCTTAATTCTTTTAAATTTTTAAAATTATATAGCACGTATTCATAGAACAAAATAAAGTTTTAAACATCTCAATGTCATTTGACAAGAATATTCAACAACTTCATACATATGCGTAAATGATTTAAAATGTACTTTTATTGATCAAGAATAATAAGGTGGGTTTATATAATTACGCATTATAGATCTTTTCTTTTCTATATGCTTTTATTTTTATAAATATAAACCTTCTACAAATAGTACCAATATTTTTGCAATAGAAATCATTCTATAGAGGTAAATTTATAATATACTTGAAAACCAAGTTTAATCATAATTGATAGAAAACATGAATAATCTACTGTGTACATAGTAAACAATCATATATTATATGCATCCATATTTCTGTTCGATCGCTCGAGAATATTGATCGATATCATAGAATATTTTTGAAAGAAAAAGAAAAATGAGTTTCTATTTGATATACATAATATGCGCTTGAATGTCACAACATAGAATGAGAGAAAATGAATCAGTCACAACATATATTATGATGGTGCAGTGCCCATTAAGAATAATACGAAATATAAATTGTTGTTGCTTTATGATTTTTCGTTATTTTACCTTTTTTTTTCTTTTCAGAAGGAGATGAAGTTACATTGGATTGTATTCACAGCTATTTGTCTACTCGGTTTATGTAGACCTACGGATGGATTATTTGGAACTACATCCCTTCAAGACTATGTGGATAACCTTGTTGATGCTGCTAAATTTAAATTTGAAGGCATGTTAAGTGTTAATGATTCAGTTGTTGGTCGTATGTGGAGTTTTTTTAAATCAAAATATGGTCGTGCTTATTCATCTCTTGGTTAGTTTCTTAGAATATGTTTTTTTCTTTTTAATTTCTTTTTATTTATTATAGATGAAGAAAAACAACGTCTTCGTATATTTCGTGAACATCTTAAATATGTTCTCGAAACAAATCTTAATAAATTACAGACATATGAGTTAGAATTAAATGAATATGCTGATTGGTCAACAGATGAATTTAATTCTTTGAAAAAAGGTTTGATTGTGTCAACTAGTTTACGACGAAATTTCTTAGATAATTATGATGATGATAGTGAAGATAAAGATTCATTTCGTCGTAGTCTCAATAAACTTTATCAACGTCATTATCGTTCACAACGATTAAAAAGAAGTATGATTAATAGACAACATCAACGAAAACATCATGATAGACGTGGATTTACTGATTGGTTAATAGGTCTTCTTAATATTAGTACTAGTACTCCTGCTCCTGCTAATAATAATAATAATAATAATAATGCACAATCAACCAGTTCATTTGATTGGCGTAGTAAAAATGTTGTTGGTAGTATTAAAAATCAACTTAATTGTGGATGTTGTTATGCATTTGCTAGTGCATCAGTTCTAGAAAGTCTTTATGCTATAAAAACTAAAGCTACAAGTGTTACTGACTTAAGTCCACAACAAATAACAGATTGTTCTACTGGTAATAGTGGTTGTAATGGTGGAAATTTTGCACCAAGTGTTCGTTATGTATTAGGACAAGGTGGTAAAATTGCTACACTTGCATCTTATCCATATGCAGGAGTAAAACAAACATGTAAAACAAGTGGAATTAATCAAATAAATCTTGGTAATATTGAATATGGAGCTATTCCCGAAGGTGATGAAAAAACAATGGCTCAAGCACTTGTTACTTATGGACCGATATTTATTGGTCTTGATGCTGATTCGAAATTATTTATGTTTTATAAATCTGGTGTACTTACAATACCAAGTTGTCCGACTCGTCGACAAGATATGGATCATGCTATGGTTGCTGTTGGTTATGGTTATGATAGTACACTTAAATTATCATATTGGATTATAAAAAATTCTTGGGGTGAAAAATGGGGTGAAAGTGGTTATTTTCGTTTAGTAAAAGATAAAGGAAATATGTGTGGTATTGCTTCTATGGCATATTATGCAAAATTAACATAAACTATAATATTTTTCTGATTTCTTATTTGTCTGTCTGTCTGTCTATCGTGTGAAAATTTATTTCTTTTTTTTTTGTAGAAAGAAAAAACTTTGAATATAATCAGAGAAAAAAGAAAGTAGACGGATTGCGTGCATGCAGATGAATATAATGAGAGAAACTGTGTATATAAAGAAAAAAACAACAACTGAATATATCGTTAACAAACGAATCGGAAATAAAAATTGTCCAAAAAAAAGAAGCGAACAAGTTACGATGGAAAAATGAGTAACAATAAGTTTGTTTTTTTATGATGATGGTGGTTTATTTTGATCTGAACTATTATCAGGATCTATATAGATAAAAATAAAATAGAAGTTTTGTAAGTGTTTCATAATTAGAATTAAACATACTTGTTGATTCGTTGGAGTTATTATCTGGTGTTGAACTATTATTATCTCCACCAGGTGGTCGATTACCCATATTACGTCGAAGATTTTCCATAAGTTCAGGATTATTAGCTGATAACTCTGTAGCCATACGTTGACCACTAATTATAAATACATTAATTTATAAAAAAAACTTCTTTCTTCATTTATCTTACGTTTGTAATAGGGTTTCTAAACCAACTTCACCACCTTCTTGTCCACCTAAATTTGTTACTAGATTTACCATTCTATAATAATTATTTAATAATTTAAATTCATTGAATTTTAAAAACGTAAAAAAAAACTTACAATCCTTGAACTTGAGGATTTTGAACAAATTGCATTGCCTATAAATCAATAAAATTATGAAGAAATGTTTCTATATCAAAATACAAAACAAACCATATTCATCAATGATGGATTATTAAAAAATGACATCATGTCTGGTCCACCAGCTGCACCACCACCCATACCAGGCATACCAGGTATGCCACCCATGCCAGCCATACCAGGCATACCACCCATGCCAGCCATGCCAGGCATACCACCCATACCACCTAATAATGATCCAAACATAGATTGCATATTAGGTACCTAAACAAAATATACTATGAAAACATAAATAATAAACAAATATAAACATACACCAGCTGTAGCACCAGCCGCACCTCCTGGTGCTCCATTCAATCGATCTTCACAGATTCTAATAGATTGTTTATAATTGTCATTATTTGGTTCTAATGCCTGTGCTTTCTTATATGCATCAAGTGCTTCATGTACTTTATCTAATGAGAGATAAATAACACTATAGAAAAAAAAAACAGTCGAAATTATTATCAATATATTTTTCAAATAGAAAATTTCTAATATACCCAAGTCGTCCATAAGCTTTACTATAATTTGGATCAATTTCAATAGAATGAAAACAATCATGTAATGCTTGATCATTATTATTTAATTTATTATGTGCAGCAGCACTAGAATGAAAAAAAGAAATAAAATTTATAATATGTATGCAGTTATTAACAGATAACATACCGATTACAATAATAAATGGCATTGTTACCATCGATTTGAATTGCTGCATTATATGCATCTAATGCTTCTTTATATTTTTCTTGTTTAACAAATTCATTTCCTTCATTTTTTAATTTATCCGCTTGTTGTCGCATATCATCTGTTAATGGTACATTCATAGACTAAAATTATAAAACAATACACACATAGTTCTATACAGAAGAAACAAAAGATCAATACCGGTTGTTCATTAGCACTTAGCCATGATGTGAAAGTTGCTTGATGCGATGATGTTGCTGCTGCAATATCTGATACAAGTGATACAAGATCTATAGGTGGACCATACATTGATTCATTTTGTGCATTTGTAAGTGATACTTCATATGCTGTTTCAAGACATTGAACAGCAACTAAATAAAAATAATTGTTTGAGTAAAAATTAAATCTTATTTATATTAATCTATATAGATAATATACCTTCCATGCTTTCACGTCGTTCAGCATTAGAAGATTCAGCTCGTATTTCTCCATCGAGAAATTTTAAAATTGCATAAACTAAATGTTGTTTTGCTATTTGTTGATGCGACATATTAATTGAATATGTAAACTTGAAACTAGCTGAAAAATTAACTAACCTTATGTGTCATCCCATCAGATCGAGTGGAAGAACCAATTGGTATGACTAAATAAAAATAAAGATGTCACTAAAATCTAGTATACAATACATTAAAAAAATATATATTTATAATTATATTATGGCAAAGATCATTTAATTTATGAATAATTCAATGCTATATACTATATGCAAAAGAAGTAATTAACAGCTTGAATTCAAATTAAATAACATATCTTTTTTCAAGCGTTTCTTGACTTATATTTTATTGATGAATAGTTTTATATAAATTCGCTGTAGATTTTCTTCATACTATACAAAATAACATACATCGTTATTTGTAAAAGGATAATTTTTTATGGACAAAATAATAATGTTCGTTTATAATTATGTAATAAATTAAAAATGATAAAAATATTCAAGAGTATAAAATTTAGTAAAATAAAAAGACGCTAGAAAAAAAGATCCTTGATTAAATTAAGTTAAATTGACAATTCTACATTGATGTTGAATTGTCATATAAATTCTTTATGTTCATATCAAAATAAGGGCCATTTATAACATTAGGCACAGTTGTTATCTGAAAACTATTGACGGATGTTACATAACCAATACCTGTAGAATCAACTACATTTTGTAACCATGGACCTCCACTACATCCAGGACCCATATTACATGCTAATCCTAGCCCATGGTAATTGTTTTGTGTATATGCTGAGTTTTTTGTTGTGTCTGAGCATTTTTGTAGTGTAAGGCCAGAGTTGATATTACTCGGGTATCCAAACGAATAAGTAAACGCTGAACGTGGAAAGTTAAAACCAATTCCTTGTGAACCAACATATGCTTGAAGATGTTGTCCATTTACTGTTGATACAGCTACCATAGCAACATCATAGTTGTAGTCACTTTGACTTGTCCATCCTACAAGTGCCGTAACACGTCGCATAGGCCATATTCCATACGGAGTATTACCATTGTTATAACCCGGAACGAAAACCCAATTATTTTGATTATACCAAGTTTTGCTAGTTGTATCATAGACACAATGACCGGCAGTACAAATCATGTCACCAGATTTTGAAACAATAACAGCAGCTGAACAAGTATAATGTGTTGTTCCGACTTGCCAAAAGACACGACCTGTTGTATAAACTTGACGACCATTTGGTGAAATAATCTTACTCTTTGTAGAATTATTTGTTGGTAGTGAACCTGCAATACTTGATTCAGGTCCAGTTAACACTGCATTATTAATAGGCTGAGATTTACTATTTGTTTTAGATAATGAGATATCTAATGATTTTGCCGATTTGAGTTTATCTGAAGTCCAATAGTTACTGAGTTGTTGATTGAATGCATCTAGTGTCATTTCTTTTGAGCGAACGACATCACTACGAGCAATGCCGATAAATTCTGCTGCCAGAATTGTTGGGAGAAAACAAATGATAAAAAGTTGAGTAAGCATATCGTTGAATATTGTCTATCAGCCAAGAATATATGATAAAATAGCTGGTGGACTGTCATTTTATACTATATGATATTAGTCATCAGGAAGTGATTTTTCCCCCGTCAACGTCATATGCTGGACTGATCACTCTTCTCTTCCCTGCCCTGCAGGCTCATGTCATGTTGCGTAGAAGAAGAGGAAAAACTTAATGTTTTACTCGGCTCTTTCAATATGTCATTAAGGTAATGTAATTGTCAGTTAGTTTCTTTTTTACTAACAAGTAATATTATTCATCCAAATATTAAAGCAATATTATTATATATTATTGTAGCAATGTACCCTCATATACCCTGAGGGCTGAGGGGTAGGGCGCGACGACTATTACTGACAAAAACATCGAGAAAAATAATAATATTGATTAATGTATTTGATGTCATGCATATTACTCATAAATATTTGATTGAGTAATGCTTTATTTTTTAAATGATAAGATGAACATATCTTTCTTTTACGTACATACTAAATTTTGTAACTGAATAACAATATAAATCATTATTTATACATTAACCTTCAAAACTTGTTTGCATTGTTAAATTCATTAATTCAGTCTTTATCTAAACTTAAAAGTTAATATTTGTTCTTTTTTTTCTTCATCTTTTCAATATTCTCTATAGTTCTAGTCAATATTTAAAGATACATAGAAATCATTTTCAAATTGTTTATTTTTATTATGAAAAGCTTTGTATCTTTTATTTAAATAACACAATATCATGAAGACTTTTTTTTCTATATTAGTGGAGGTGTTATTTCAATCTCTTCTTTTTTTCCTTCAATGACTAGCTTATCACAATGATTAAGCTGTACATGTATGTATTTCTATTCTTCTTTCCTATTATACTGGACATACATACACAACTTATACAATCGAATGACCTTTGAAAGATCTATGACATAATAGAAGAAGGAGAAAGAGAGGGAGAGAGAAAAAGTATTCAAATAAAGAAGCCATATATATTTAGAAGGTTAGCGGTTACATCTTACAATGATGATCTCTTGTTTTACATTGACATAAAAAAAAAACAATAATGTAATGAATGTTTAGTATGTGAATAGTAAAGAATGTGTCATTAAAATAAGAATGTATTCGAAACAAGTAAGTTAAATGAATTTTGTTTTATTTGAAAACGAAGGAAAATTTTTTCTCTTTTTTTCTTGTCATTGTAAGTATTCATGTTTAATAATATGGCAATCCGAATGAACCATGTTATTCATTCTGATTACTGCTATTGGTTTTTATACAAGTACTGCTGAACTTGTTTCTTCTATTCCATGTGAATATATAACTGATGAACAACTTCTCTGTCGACAAACATCATTTACTGATGATAATATTCCATTGAATAAAGAATCAAATTATTCACAAATCATACAATTTGAATGGATTGAATCAGGTGCATATATATTTTCCGATAATCTATTTGAATTATTTTCTGATCTTAAAAATGTTTCATTACGTTCAAATGCATTAACATCATTATCAATTCTACCATTTTGGTCTCATTTAAAATCTATTTCACATCTTGATCTATCACAAAATCGTTTAATAACAATAAATAATCGTGATTTTCAATCATTTAAAAATTTAATATCATTAAATATATCATTAAATTTTCTTACAACAATTGAACCTATTTGGTTATTAATACCATTACATATAATTGATCTATCACAAAATGGTATTAATTCAATAGGTTATATAAAACTTCAAAATAGTACATCAGAAATAAATTCATGTGTATTAGAACAAATTTATTTCAATAATAATCGTGGTCTTTTATCATTTACACAATTACAAATGAATATAATGAATACTTGTCCTTTTATTGATCGTTTTCAATTAATGAATAATCATTGGCATTGTGCATGTAATGATCTTATTCATTCTCTTAAACATTATCGAAAATTAATTCTTATCGATGAATTTTCTAAGAGTTTAAGTGGTCAATGTGAAACACCTCTAGCATTTCGTAATATTGATATACAAAAAATGCATGAAGAATTAGTATGTGATAATAATCTTCTATTATTTGATTCAACACTTAATGATGAACAATCATCATCATCATCATTTTTATCTCGTCAAATTATTTTTTTATTTATATTGGGTTGTATCATTGGAATTATAATTGGTTTATGTTTACATTATTGTGCATATCGTTGCCTTGATGTACTTTCGTATCTATTGTATAAATGTAATCGACAAAAAATAATTAATGAAAGAAATGTTAATGAATCAATACAAATGAATGATTCTAATCATAATGCAAATCGTTTTATTTATTGTCCAACAAATGAATCAGATACTTTACCAAGTTATTCGCAAGTAATGAATGATATATTTTATTTAGATGTTCTAAATCGACAGCATCAGACTGAATTTGATGGTGAATGTTAAAAAAGAGGATTTGTTTTTTTATTAGATGTCGAAGAAAAATGAATTGTTAAATAAAATATATTAGTTTAAAGATATGTCTAAAATGTAAACAACTTTAAGTTAAGAATATAATTAACGAGAAAAAGCTAATAAATGATATCTTTTTCACTGATTCCTACTGCACTAATCATAATAAAAAAAAAGAAAAATCACGAAGTGTCTTTGGTAATGCTATTTAACATAGTTTAAAGTTTTGATTGAACCATTTGTTTTAATAATTTTTCTAATTTAAGTGCTGTTGGTAAATCACCTAAAGAAAATAAAACGTCGATTAAATAGAAAAATATGATTATTAAATATACCTTGAATTTTTAATTTTCCACCCATAAATGCTGCTGTTGGTTTTAATTTGCCGGCAAACATTGATTGAAAATCAGCTTTGGACATTTTCATTGTACATTGTGCTTTACCAGATGGTGGTTCACCTTGACCAGCACTACCATTATCATTTTTCATATCTAAATACCATCGATCTCCTAGAATACAAAGAAAATATAACTTCTTTTTTTCTTCGAAAGTTAATTAACCTTGTAAATCAAATGTATAAACACTATTGATTTGTTTTAATAATTCTGGACTTAATAATGTTTTAATTTTATCAAAAATTTGTTCGACATTTACTGCTCCTCCACTAGCAGCATTTGTTTCTGATTTTTGTCCAGACATTGGTGATTTGTCACGTTGTAGTTGCGAAATATTTTCATCAAGAAAAAAATCAAGCATAAAATCAGTTGTACCAGGTATAACAGAATATTGATCAAAATCAGTTACACCTTGTTGTCGAAGTAATGTTTCATCAATAAAAAAATTACCAGTACATGATCGACTATCTTGTGTTAAAATTGCATATGCAGCATCAGCCATTATATCTGGTCGTCGACATCGTTTACGATAATCTTCACCAGCAATTAAATTTATTGCATCAGTATCAATAGCTAATTAAAAGAAAATGTATATTCTTAAAAGAAAATAATTATGTATACCTGTTTTTGGCCATAATGTATTAACAGCAATGCCAGATTCACGTAATTCAGCTGAAAGACCAAGAGCAAATAAAGACATATTATATTTAGCAACAGTATAAGCAACATGTGATTTGAACCAAAATGGATTTAAAGATATTGGTGGAGAATTCATAAGAATATGAGGATTGGAAGATTTTTTTAAATATGGAATAGCCACTTTTGAACTGAAAATAAATAAAAGATTGTTAAAAGAATATTTCTATTCAGTTAACTAGAAATAATATACCAGAGAAAAGTACCACGTGCATTAATAGAATGCATTAAATCGTAACGTTTCATTGGTGTTGAAGGTGTATCAGTTAATGATATAGCTGATGCATTATTAATTAAAATATCAATACCACCAAATTTTTGTGCAGCTTGTTCAAATGCTTTAGTAACTTGTTCTTCATCACGTACATCAACAACACAGGGTAAACATTGGCCTCCGGCTTTTTCAACTAAATAAATAGAAATGAATTCAATAAAAAATCGAACACGTTCATCATTTATAAAAATAGTTTTACTTTCTTTAGCTGCTGTATAAATTGTTCCAGGTAATTTTGGATGTGGTTCAGTTGTTTTAGCCGCAACAATAATATTAGCTTTATCTTTTGCACATCGTAAAGCAATTTGTAAACCAATACCACGTGATGCTCCTGTAATGAAAATTGTTTTACCAGCTAATGATCTTTTTAAAAGAAAATATACAATTAATTTTTCTTATCAGACAAAAAAAACATCATTTAACTTACGGCATGTTAATACGAAAGTTGAATTATGAAAAGGAATAACTATCTAGAAGAAAAATAAATTCATAAAAATCGATCAAGAAATTGTATATAAGATAATTTAGCTTCTGATGATGTGGGAACAAAATGTCCACCATCATGTCGTAAAATTTCAGCATTCTTAAAACATTCATTCGCTAAAGTTTCTGACATAAAACACGGAATAACACGATCATTAATTCCAATCACATGTAAATTAGGTAAATCAATTTGAAGATTATTATATATCGATTGATGTTGTTCTTGACCACTTCGAAAGCTAGCAACTAAGATAACAAATCGAAAAGGATATTTCATTGTTGATAAACGAGCAAGAAGTAATACTGCAAATGCAGCACCTTGAGAAAATGCTAGTAAACCATCAAATGGTACTTCTTGTTCATTGATATATTTAATTACATATTCTAATGATTCGTCAAAACCTCGATCACATGATGTCGTTGCTAATGGATCATAAGTAAGATCAGCAGCAGAAAACCACCAACCTTTAAAAAATAAAATGAAAGTTCAGAGTTATCCAAATGTAGAATAGAAACATAACCCAACTAGATTTATTACAATCAAATTCATCAAGTTATCTACTAATTATTTGTTAATAAGCATATTATAGAACAATCACAAGACTATATCGTAGTTTTTTATAATACATATACAATTCGATTATTCAATATTTATGAATACCTCTTTCATTTGTACGATTTGATGCTGATGCATTTGTATCATCTTCTG